TCCTTAAAACTTTGAAAACTTCCCTTATCATTAAACCATTAAAAAGAAAATAAAAACTCTTTCTTCTCTGTGTTACTTGCATCGCTTGGAGAAATTCTTGTTCCATTTCACCAAGTGATCTCTTCTCATTCTTGTTGATACTACAATAAGGTAAGATCTTGCTATCGACCTCTTCTCCACCCACTTGACCTGAAGATAAATCAAGAATTTGACTAATGAAATTCTCAAGGAGTAATCTAAACTCTACAGTCCATCAATAATAACAACTTTTCTCAGCTAAATTTGAGCATTTGAGTGTTTATTGTTTCGATCAGAGAGTGATGAAGACTGAAAAGCTTAAGATTACTCTGTAAATAAAATCTAAACAAGCAGACAAATTGGTATCTAATGATCTTCCATAATCATAAAAATCAAAACTTTCTTCACATCAATTCCGTTCCCAAACAAAAAAAAAACAAACCTTTAGCCAAAAAAGGGGGAATCTTTGAGATTTACAGAAACGAATCCACAAAAAAATTGAAACTTTATTTAAGATGCAACAAGGTCAAAAACTTCAAACCTGATTGGTCAGTGGTAGCTTTGATGGGCAATAAGAGAAGTCTTCTTCTGAGAGAAATCGATCGTTCTCCATGGGAGGTGAAGTGAGCAGGAAACTGTGATCTCGAAGGAGATAAACGAGTGGTGGGTTTGCGAGAAACGGAGGAGAAGAATCGAGGGCTTGTGAGAGTAAACGCCATTTTACTGCTCATGGAATCAGAGAGTTTGAGAGATCGTCGTTGCTTTTAGGAAGCTGTGAGGTTTTGTGGTTGAGAATTTCAGGTTCCTTCTCGAGTTTTTTTTGTTTGTTAATTTTGTGATTTTGTTTTACGTGTGTGTATTTTGCCATTTGGAGGGAAAATTAGGAAGGAGATAAGAGATCCTGGATCGTGTGGCGTTAAAAATTCCACGTCAGCAATATATATCCAATAAAAAAAATATATATATGATTTAAAGCCGAGAAAGATTTATCACTTGAGTGGCCCAATTTACCATTCTTCTCGAGTAAGCCTATCAGTCAAATGGGCCTTTTAGAGATAAATTTGCAGTCCATTTATGTATACTTTACAATACACAGGCGGGTTAGTTAAGACTTTCACAGCCATATTCTGTACCGTTAGATTTAATCTTCCATCGAATCGTCTCCGTTAAATTTTTACCTTTCCTCACCTGCTCGTAACTCTACCGTAATAAGAACCACCACATCG